TGGGCTACAGTGGAAACTGCCCAGGTGATGGCATTAGGGGATGGGAGGGGAGCTCCAGTTTTCCAGCTGTCTTTTGGGTGATCCTGTCTTCCTCAGGCTCAGGCTTCCTATTCTATAAAGTGGAGGAGATGGTGATGACGATGATGATAAGAGTAACCTCTTAGGATTTTCTTAAGGATGAAATGAGCAACTGCAACCACCATATAAAAGCTGTAAGCTGCAAACCACCACATACAAGCTGGTTGGTTTCAAGCTCTTTTCATCACTTGGGCAATAGTAGGTGTGGATGGGGGAACTTAACTTGATTTGGCCATGAAATGACCCTGCCACATATGGAGAACGTAGCAGTTGCTTACCCAAGGCATAGGATTCAACCAAGACCAGGCTTTGACTTAGGAATTGGAGACCCACATTAACACTTGACTTCCCGCTTCTTAACCATGTCACCATGGGCAGATTTCTTGGTCTCTCAGGACCTCTGCTTCCTCATCTGTAAACTGGGAATCATAAACTCCCTCATCTGGTTGTTGCAAGGGTTGAATGAGCACCTGGCACAGACCTGGTCTATTGCAAATAGAAGCAGCATTGTGTAGAAGCAGGAACTGGAGATCCCAGAGTGTGTTGAAATCAAAATGACACCATATTCCGGGTACAAGGCAGGGCGATTTCACAGCCGCACTCGGGTGGCTGATGGCTGGCTTCTGATTTAAGCACAGCAAGCCCAGGCCTTGGATGTGAGCGTGTTAACCTTTACTTCGAAACCCCTAAGGCCCTGTTGACTGTGGCCCAGCCCTTCCTGTCTGTGGCTTTGGCTCTGCAATGGTGCCCCAGGCATTGACTGCCCCCACAGAGGGAGAGCGGAGGTGTCTGGGGAGGGACTTGGTCTGGGGCCCGCAGAAAGGCTGGACACTAGAGTCATGTCTCCCCCATCCAGGCGGAGCAGAGGAAACGGAGCAGGGTGGCTGCCAGCACTGGCAGACCTCCAGCCTCTGGGGCCAGCACAGCTTGCTTGGCCCACTCGCATGGGGCTCTCCTGGCAGAGGAGGGGCCAGAGCCTTGGCTTTCTAGTTGGGGTACCTCAGCCCTGCGTCCTGTTCCCCAAGGGTCCTCAGACCCAGCAAGGCTGGAACAAAATGGAGGCACTATCCCAGCTCACCTTGGGAAGGTCCCAAGACCCTGGGTCATCCTCCGGCTCCTGCTCCTGCTTTGCTGAGTTCCACCTGCAGCAGAGTGTCCTGTGCACATGGATTTCCAGAATAGCGGATTTAGATGCTGCCTGCTCTTCAGGGCCCACTGTTGCCCAGGAGTCCCCCTCTACTCTGGTATCTCCCAGCATGCCCTGCTCTTTTTCCCTGCAAGGGCTCCTCCCATTTGTCAAAATCCAATCTTCAGGCTGACTCCAGAGTTGCTTCTGTGAATCCCCCACTGCCCAGCCCAGAGCCCTCTCGCTGCCTCTGAACCCCTTCCGCAGTTTGGTGAGACCTCTTATACCTTCTACTTCATAGTGGTGTTATCAATAATTGGTACAATATAAAATTCTTGGGAACAGCTTCTTGCATCCCCAGCATAGAGAACAGCATATGGGTCAGATAACGGTCCAGGCACTGATAGGTGGATAGGTGACACAAATACCATTTGAAGCTGTTAGAGAGCACTACAGGATGGCAGAAGGAATCCAGGAATCCTTTTGTGGGTGTTTTTTGTTGTTGTTGTTTTGTTTTGTTTCGTTTTTGAGATGAAGTCTCACTCTGTCACCCAGGCTGGAGTGCAGTGGCATTATTTCAACTCACTGCAACCTCCACCTCCCAGGCCCAAGTGTTCCTCCCACCTTAGCCTCCTGAGTAGCTGGGACCACAGGTGCACACCACCATGCATGCCTAATTTTTGGCATTTTTTATACAGACGGGGTTTCGCCATGTTGCCCACGCTGGTCTGGAACTCCTAAGCTCAGGGGATCCACCCACCTTGGCCTCCCAAAGTGCTGGGATTACAGGGGTGAGCTACCATGCCCAGCCAGGAATCCTTTTTGTTAAATTGTCATAAAATATACATAATATTAAATTTACCATTTTCTTTCTTTCTTTCTTCTTTTTTTTTTTTTTGAGACGGAGTCTCACTCTGTCGCCCAGGCTGGAGTGCAGTGGCGTGATCTCAGCTCACTGCAAGCTCTGTCTCCCGGGTTCACACCATTCTCCTGCCTCAGCCTCCAGAGTAGCTGGGACTACAGGCGCCCACCACCACGCCTGGCTAATTTTTGTATTTTTTAGTAGAGATGGAGTTTCACTGTGTTGGCCAGGCTGGTCTTGAACTCCTGACCTCATGATCCACCCGCCTCGGCCTCCCAAAGTGCTGGGATTACAGGCGTGAACCACTGCGCCCAGCAAATTCACCATTTTCAAGTGTATACTTAACCATTTTCAAGTGTATAATTCAGTTGCCTTAGGTCCATTCACATTGCTGTGCAACCATCACCACTATCCATCTCCAGAGCTTTTGCTTTTTCTTTTTAAGTGAAAGCAAGTTTATCAGAGAAGTAAAGAAACAAAAGAATGGCTACTCCATAGGCAGAGCAGCCACTAAAACGCTGTAGCCATTAAACACTAACTCCCCATTGCCCCTCCACCAACCCCTAGCAACCGCTGTCTACTTTCTGTCTCTATGAATTTGACTATTCGAGGTACATCATATAAGTGGAATCATCTATTTGTCCTTTCATGTCTGCCTTATTTTATTTAGCATAATGTTTTCAAGGTTTTTCTGTGTTGAAATACATCAGAATTTCATTCTCTTTTTAAGGTAGAATCATATCATTTTAAAACATTTAAGTTGGACCATCTAAGTTCAGTCCTTCATTTTTAAAATAAAAAAGCAGGCCTCACACAGGTACATCTTATGTTAGTTAGAGGCAGAACTGGAGCTAGAAGCCAGATCTCTTACAAAATTTCCTTTCTTCTTCTGTGGGTAAATGGGGCGCCCTCGGGACTCTGTGCTGGGTGTACATGGGTGCTTGATGAAGTACTTGGTGGACTGATGTGATTGGTGTCCAACACGTATGCTGGGACAGAGGCTATGGTCCCTAGAGAGCAGGCATGGAGAGAAGGAGACATGCATGTGGGCAGGAGCCAGGAGAGGGAGGGTGTCGTAAGCAGAGGTCGTGCCACTGCACTCCAGCCTGAGTGACAGAGTGAGAATCCATCTAAAAAAAAAATTGCTTGCTAAAGAAGTGGTCTCCTGAGGTCTTAAGACGTTCCTGACAGTGTCTAGAGTGGGTGGGAGAGAGGCTGCAGTCATTGTACTGTGGAATTTCACAACTGAGAACCACGCCTAACCAAAATCACGTTCCCTGTTTGCCTCAGTGACACAGCTACGGGGACCCTGGTGGGTGTTGTATTAAGTAAAATTTGACCTTTACTCTGTGCAGATCTGTGAAATGTTGTCTTCTGAGGGGCCACATGCATCTGTAGTGCTGAGGACTCCTTGGGCCTCTAAAGTCACAGAGAACCCTGCAGGGTGGGGGACCAGTGCGTGACAGCCCTGCTTTGCATTTTCTTCGAGAAATGCTGTCTGCCATTTTGTATTCCTCTCCATCAGGGCAATCTTCAATCTTGAGAGGTGTGATCATAACTTGCCTTGTTTCTTGTCGCTGCAGAGAACGGAAGGCTCCCTTGATGGAACTTAGACAGCGAGGCCGGATGCACATCCCTGGAAGGACATCTATGTTCCGAGAAGAGCAGATGATCCCTATATTTCAAGAGCTCTGTGCACTTATTTATGAACCTGCCCTGCTCCCACAGAACACAGCAATTCCTCAGGCTAAGCTGCCGGTTCTTAAATCCATCCTACTGAGTTAATGTTGGGTAGAAAGAGATACAGAGGGGCTGCTGAATTTCCCACCTACCCTCCTTCCACCAAGTTGGAGCATCCTTGGCAATTGGAAGGGCAGAAGAGGAGATCCAGGGCAAACAGGCCATTGGGATATTCTGAAACTTGAATATTTTGTCTTGTGCAGAGATAAAGACCTTTTCCATGCACCGTCATACACAGAAACCAATTTTCTTTTTTGTAGCCAATCACTTCTAGCACATGGCCTGGTTAGAGGCTAGTTTTTTTCTTTTCCTTTGGTCCTTCAAAGGCTTGTAGTTTTGGGTAGTCCTTGTTCTTTGGAAGTACACCGTGCTGACCAGACAGCCTCCCCCTGTCCCCTCTATGACCCCGCCCTCCACAAACGGGAAAACCAGGCTACTTGGGAGCACCGCCTTTGAAATACCGACCTGAAGACACGGTTCATTCGGGCAAAGCACAGAACAGAAAATGAAGGTGGAACAAGCACAGATGTTCTTAAACTGTTTTTTTCTACACTCTTTTTCTTTTCTTCTACCATGCTGAAGGCTGAAAGACAGGAAGATGGTGCCTACAGCAAATATTATTCTTAATTGAAAAATTGAAATGTGTATGTTTCTTACTAATTTTTAAAGATTTATTCCTTGCCAGGGCAGGCGAGGTGGCTCACGCCCATAATCCCAGCACTTCGGGAGGCTGAGGCGGGCAGATCACCCAAGGTCCAGAGTTTGAGACCAGCCTGGTGAAACCCTGTCTCTACTGAAAATACAAAAATTAGCCGGATGTGGTGGCGCATTCCTGTAGTATCAGCTACTCAAGAGGCTGAGGTGGGATAATCGCTTGAATCCAGGAAAGAGGGGTTGTAGTGAGCGGAGATTGCACCACTGCACTCCAGCCTGAGTGACAGAGCGAGAATCCATCTCAAAAAAAAAAAAACAAAAAACAAAAAAAAACTGCTTGCTAAAGAAGTGGTCTCCTGAGGTCTTAAGACATTCCTGACAGTGTCTTGAGTGGGAGAGAGGCTGCTGTCATTGCGCTGTGGAATTTCACAGGTGAGAACCACGCCTAACCAAAATCACTTTTCCTGTTTGCCTCAGTGACACAGCTGCAGGGACCCTCGTGGGCGTTGTATTAAATAAATTTGACCTTTACTCTTTGCAGATCTGTGAAATGTTGTCTTCTGAGGGGCCACATGCATCTGTAGTGCTGAGGACTCCTTGGGCCTCTGAAGTCACAGAGAGAACCAAGCAGGTCTATGTTTTTGTTTTGTTTTGTTTTGAGATGGAGATTTGCTCTTGTTGCCCAGACTGGAGTGCAGTGGCGCGATCTCGGCTCACTCAACCTCCACCTCCTGGGTTCAAGTAATTCTCCTGTCTCAGCCTCCTGAGTAGCTGGGATTACAGGCTGGTGCCACCACGCCTGGCTAATTTTTGTATTTTTAGTAGAGACAGAATTTCACCATGTTGGCCAGGCTGGTCTCGAACTCCTGACCTTTGGTGTTCTGCCCACCTCAGCTTCCCAAAGGGCTGGGATTGCAGGCGTGAGCCACCATGCCCAGCCTAGACTCTTCTGACAATATGATGAAAGCTGTTGGTTCCTTTCCCCAACACACACACACACAGTTGTGTCACGAAAATGTCATACAATTTCCAAGTTTTCAGAGTGGTGGGCTCAGATTGCGGTCAAAAGATCAGACGACCTCTAATGACCTTCACATCTCTGTTGATGATCTGGGGACAGTTGGAGCCCCTGTGTCCAGGGAGTTCCTTAGTCCCTTGCCCTTACCAGAGAAGGGCAATTGCCACGGGAGCTGCAAAGACCCTATTCCTACTCTCGGTGCCTTACTTATGCAGCACAACTGAATTTTTTGTTTTGTTTTTGTTGAGACGGGCTCGCTCTGTTGCCCAGGCTGAGCGCAGTGGTGTAACCACGGCTCACCGCAGCCTCGAACCCCTGGGCTCAAGCCATCCTCCCACATCAGTCTCCTGGGTAGCTGGGACCAGAGGCCTGAGCCGCCATAGCTGGCTAATTTTTTAATTTTTTTGCAGAGATGAGGTTTCATCATGGTGCCCAGGCTGGTCTCGAACTCCTGGGTCCAAGTGATCCTCCCTCCTTGGCCTCTCAAAGTGCCGGGATTGCAGGCATGAGCCACCACCTCCAGCCTGTGGGGCACACATGAGTTTAAAATTACTTTCCCTTCCGCCTGTATTTCCAAGGAGGAAACTTCATGCACAGGGATCTTTCTTAGTGGATTTAATGGCTAAAAGGTCTGTCTGAACCCAGGACGCTGGCTTCAGCCTTGCTATGCAGCTGTGGTAACCCCAGTGTCTAAGCCTGAGGCATCCCAGGAGCACCCACTCCACTTTTCTCGGCCGCGGAACTCATTAGTTAGAGCGCCCTCTTGTGTCCTCAGGTGGTAATTGGTCATTAAAGGACTTAAAACGGTCCTCAGCCAACACACAGAACTTTCCCTTTTCTGACCCCAAGAGGTCAGCCACCCATTTCGTGAGCATATACTGGTGGCCCCATCAGCGTTCTCTGATTGGCTAACTGAACTCACTCCCCAACCTAGACTCAAGAGAGGCCAAGTGACGCTAAGATCAACATTCACTCACTAAAGCAATGACTCTCGGGCGATTTTGTGTCCCGTTGGTTTTGGAATGGTGTCTGGAGACAAATTTTGGTTGTCACAGCTGGGTGGGTGTGCTCCTGGCATCTGGTGGGTAGAAACCAAGGATGCTCCTAAACATCCTACGGGCACAGAACCGTCTCCCATGACCAAGCATGATCAAGTCCCAAATGCCAATAATGGCCAGGTTGAGAAACTGCATAGAAGCATCCAGTTATTTGTCTGTTTGCTCAACAAGCTTGTGCTCATCATGCTCTGTGTTCCTGACACTGTGCTGAGTGTTGGGGGTGGGACGATTACAAGAGTTACATGGCAGCTGTCCTCCTGGAAGGTACAACCCAGTAGAGATGCAGACGAACAGAGAGTCAATTACAAAGCAGTGTGACAAGCGTCATGCTGAAAAATTAAAAGCTCAAACAAGGGCACATGGGAGGGCCTTCCAACACAGACTTTGGGGAATCCAGGAAGGTCTAAGAGAAAGGTGAGTCTCACCAAAGCCTTGACCACAGGCAGAGGGTACCAGGTAGAAAAGGTGGGGTGAAGAGCATTGAGGACAAAAGGAGAAAGTGCAGGAAGGCCCTGAAGCAAGGGAGTGGGGGGTGCCCTAGAGGGATGGCAGCAGGGCAGTCTGTCAGACCGAAGTGGCCTCCAGCCCTAGAAGCCAATTAGTCTTCCTCAAAACGCTGCCACTGTCCCCTAAGAATTGCTGCCATGCTCCCAATGGCCTGACTCAGTCTTAGAGAGTCTTATGGAGAAGGTCTCTGAAAGGTACACAGCAAGAGCTCTCCCCAGTACTGCTGTTTTTAAGACTCTCCACCAGCGTCATTAGCGTGTTGGGAAGAAACCCTCTGCCACAGAGGCCAGCTTCAGCCTTTGCCTAACACCGCAGGGGCAAATGGAAAGGTAAACGGGAAGGAGATGTCTCCCTAGCAGGTTATTTGCGAACAGTCTCCCCTGAAGAGGATCTCAATCTGGGGTCCACAGAGTGGACATGTTAGAGTAGGGAGCTAGGCAAACATGAGCAGGACAGGAGAGAGCCCCCATGAGAACGTCAGGCGACCATCAGGTGATGGTCTCTGTAAAACTGTCTCTGTAAAATAATAATTGGTTGCAGCTAGTTCCAAGCAAGGACAGTGTCTCAATAGATACAAAACACCCGGATCTGGTGATCAGCCGCTTCCCGATAAGATGTCAGGAGCTAGGCAAGCAGGCTGGAGCATGCGCACCAAGAGGCAAAATGGCGGAATTTAACCAGTGTATGACCTCGCTCTGGGAACGCACGACTGGTAAGGGGAAAATGCCTCAGGTGAGCATGCGCTCAACTTAAGTACTCAGACTGTGCTTGCGACCCCTCCCAAGTGCTGGCGGGTCACCATATACGCGGACAGCCTGCTCCAAGGGAAGAATCAGGGGAGATGAGACGTAAATCCCAGAACCATGCCAAATATATAAAACCCCAAGTTAAGGGTCAGGCAGGGCACTCAGATCTCTTAAGTTGCCTGCCTGACCCAAGCGTACTGTACTTCCTTTTGTTCCTGCTCTAAAACCTTTTAATAAACTCTCACTCCTGCTCTAAAACTTGCCTTGGTCTCTCCCTGTGCCTTAAAAAATCACTTAAAACCACCTCTTCCCCTCAACTGAGTTCTGTCTTTGAGAAGGCAAGCATTGAGTTAGCTGCAGACCCGTTGGATTTACCGCTGGTAACAGAAGTTGGGATAAGGTGTGGGACCTGACAATTCTCTAAGCGTGGGTGCAAAAGGCTATGAGGGTGTGCAGTTTTCTATGGGAGAGAATCCATAGCTTTTATCCGTGTCTTTGTTTGTTTTGAGATAGAGTCTTGCTCTGTCACGCAGGCTGGAGTGCTCTGGTGTGAACATGACTCACTGCAGCCTTGACCTCCCGGGCTCAAGCAGTCCTCCTGTCTCAGCTTCCCAAAGCTGAGACCACAGGCGCCCACAACCATGACCAGCTAATTTTTAATTTTTTTTGTAGAGATGAGGGTGTTGCTATGTTGCCCAGGCTGGTCACAAACTCCTGGGCTCAAGTGATAGAACTCCTGCCTCAGCCTCCCAAAGTTCTGGGATCATAGGTGTGAGCCACCACGCCTGGCCTTTTATCAGTTTCTTAAAGGAAGATAGGGTCCAAAAAAGGGTTAGGAACTTCTAAATAATTAAAAACTCACATATGCTTCATATTATTTGATGTCAGTTAAAACCCCAAAATAGTGATCAATACATTTCTTACCAAAGGATCTACTTTAAAGACAGTTTTACATCCAATATCCTCAGCAAGACTTGGCTTGCCTTCAGAAAATTGCTCAGAATAAGGAAACAAATGGTGATTTCAACATTTGAAGGGGGTAGCCCTCATCTCTCAAAAGTAATAAGCTATTAGAATGTTTTGGAATACCAGAACAGATGCAGTGACTCATGCCTGTAATCCCAGCACTTAGGCAGGCAGAGGCAGAAGGATTGCTTGAGCCCAGGAGTTTAAGTCCTGCCTGGACAATATAGCGAGACCCCATTCTTCACAAAAAGAAATTTAAAAAAGAAAAAAAAAAAGAATGTTTTGGAATATCAAGGAACCAGCAGTAAATCTATTGAAAAACTTCATAGTCCAAAGTGTTTCTAAAGCCTAAATTGTCCCTTTATCTATATTTCATAATTCAATAAGAAGTGAACTCTTACTTCAAAATGAACTTTGACGATAGAAAAGAAACGTTATTTCCACATTCAGAAACGATGATGATGCTGGAAAGCAAATACACTTTTTTGTTTGTTTGTTTGTTTGTTTTTGAGTTTCACTCTTGTTGCCTAGGCTAGAGTGCAATGGCACCATCTTGGCTCACTGCAACCTCTGCCTCCTGGGTTCAAGCAATTCTCCTGCCTCAGCCTCCCAAGTAGCTAGGATTACAGGCATGTGCCACTACACCTGGCTAATTTTGTATTTTTTTAGTGGTGATGGAGTTTCACCATATTGGTCAGGCTGGTCAAACTCCTAACCTCAAGTGATCCACCCACACTGGCCTCCCAAAGTGTTGGGATTACAGGCATAAGCCACCACATCCAGCCGCAAATACAATTCTTACAGAAAAATAAAAACTAAATTGGAATAGGGGATTGGCCACCAGTCAACTACATGACCTTGGATGTGTCACACATCCTAGGGTTCCTCTCCTGCAAAAGAAAATGTATTCATCATCTCCCAGGGATGCAATAACAAATTACCACAAACCAGGTGGCTGAAAACAACGGAAATCTATTCTTGCACAGTTCTGGAATCCAGAAGTCCAAAATCAAGGTGTCAGCAATGCCATGATCCTCCAAAGCTCTAGGAAAGACTCCTTCTCTGCCTCTCCTGGCCTCTGATGGTTCCTGGCATTCCTTGGGATTTTCTAGGTTGCAGCTGCACTGGGATTTTCTGGGTTACAGTGACTCCAGTCACTGCCTCTGTCATCACAGGGCATTCTTTCACATGCGTGTCTGTGCCTTCACATGGCCTTCTGAGAAGGACACTAGGGCTGGGTGTGGT